CCTCCCAGGTCTCACATGCTAGCTGCGATGCAAGAGGATGGGGAATTCTGACCCTTTGGACTTTGGGACCCCATTGTCGAGGGAAGAGCAGAACTGTGGTACCCTCCCAGCAACACTCCCATACAGACCTCCAAAGGGCCTTGCTAAGGACAGCAGTAGCTCTGACAGTCACACAGCACAGCAAAGGCGCCCAGCCTAAGGCAGCCAACCACCCAGCTGAATGGCCATGGGAAAGTGGAGAGGCCCTTTGGCAGTCAGAGCCCATGGGTGCCTGTGAAGCCCCACAGATGAGGATAGGTCCATGTGGAGTCTGCGCAGGGTGAGGTGGCCTGGATCTGGTTGGGGGTGGGTTGGGGCAAAGACCGCACCAACCTCTCCCCCACCGCCCCATTCTAGCTGGACTCTAGTTCCTTCTCCTGAATCCATCCTTGTCTGCCCCCAGTCTCAGCATCTGGGTCTCCAAAACGGCCTTCTCAGGCCCTTCCCACCCCTCCTCCCCAGCCCTAGCTGGGCAGAGGTGGTTGATCTCAGCAGCCTGGGCCCTCTGAGAGCCCCAGTCAATCACCTGGCCCCCCTTCCCTCACCCCTTCCCCCCAGGGGTAAGAGCCCCTTCTTTCTCCCAGGCTCCCTCCAGGGGCCACTCTCAGTTCTACGTACAAGCTCCCCTCAGTGGTCCCCATCCCCCAGCTCCCACCAAGGCCCAACAGAGGGGCTGGAAGGAGACCCTCCCCAACTCCAACCAAGCGCGGGAGCCGGGTAAGAGGCGGGGAAATGAATATTAATTTATCATGATTAGGCAAATCCGGCAGGGAGAGAGCCGATTCCGGCGGAGGAGGCTAAAAAGATGAATTTCAGCAATAAAATTAAATAAGGACGGACGGGCAGCCCCTCCTCCCTCCCGCTTTGCTGATCTCTCTCTTTCTTACAATTTATGAGACCAATTATGAAGATGAGGTTGGAAGTTCCTGGAACTTCACTAAATGCAAACGGCGGTCCCTGCTGTTCCCATCAAATTAATTAACCGCGCGCTATTGATGGCCGCTCAAGGCTGACGCAGGCGGCCCGCCCTGCGGCCTCCTCCATGGACACGAGGACCCGGAGTCCGGGGCCCAGCCAGTGCTCTACCACCTTCCACAGTCCCTGTCCAGCACCACGGGGACTTCCAGGGATACCCCCCTCCCAGCCATACATACGCCTTGCAGGCCCTTGACGACATGGGGGCCTAAACAGACACTTGGACACATGCCTGGGGTCTCACACACACACTCAGATACAAAATCATGAGCACGCAGCACACAGACACAGGGCACAGAAACGTACATTAGGCACAACAGACAAATGACCACGCAGCAGCACACGGACACAAATACCCAGGGGCACCTACACATGTACAATGACAGCTGATCTGAGGGAACCAGAGCCGGCTGGGTGAGGGCAGTGGGGATGAGGGCCTGTCGCTATGGGAGGTGACCTGAGTCCAGCAGGGCAAAGGTGCCACCACTGCTGTCCAAGAAGATGTTCCACAGCCACTCAAGCAGCGAGCAGTGGCCTCCCTTGCCTGGCATCTGCACTGTCCTCCAGAGACAGCCTCAGAGCTCTCCCCTGCCCGAAGCCCTTCCTTCCCTGGGGCCTCTCCTTGTCTCTGGGTCCAGGGGCCTTCTTCAGGGATGTTCCCTCTAAAAGGTCTTTCACTTGGGCTTAGCTTCTGCACTGACCTTTAGAGTGGGGACCAGGGCTTGCTGAGCCACCGGTAGGACAATGAGGATAAGACCTGGCCCAGAGTCTCAGGCCGGTTTCGGGTTTCAGCCCTGACAGTGCCCTAGTTCCAGAGTTCAGAAGCAGAGCTGCCAGTGGCTCAAGGGTTCTGGAAAACTAGCTGGCTGGTGCTCAGACCGAAGGGCAGCATGAACATCAGGCCAAAGGTCTTGGAGTTGAGCCCATGCTAGGCCTGGGGCAGCTCCTGGATGTGTCTGCAGAGTCCGCGTGGCAGTAGGTTGCCCCAACAGCTGTAGTTTCCATGTGAGGTCAACTTCTAAGCTAATGCGGGAGGGCCCAGAAAGGGGCTCTCCTGTTGGCAGAGTGAGGCCAAAGTCTTCTCCAAGTTGTAGTCCTTAGTCCTGGCAAAAGGAATCCTGTTCCATTCAAAGGGACAGGAATTCCATTTGCTCCCCTTTCAGTGCAAGTGTGTGGTCAAGACTCATGCCATCACCCCAAGCCCTGGGAAAATGAGGCTCCCAGCTTGGCAGGGCTGGGCAGCGCTGCCCAGAGTGGACTTGTATTTTGGCACAAAGTGTCAGACAGAAATAAGGGAGCTCAGACTGACCATGTAGCAGCCAGAGTGAGAGGGCTGGGACCCAGGGCTTTGCCCCCCACCTGATCCTGACCCTCCCCTATTCCTGGTACCTGAGGCTCTCCCGCTTCCCACACCCCCAGCAGCACTTCAGAGGCTGTCCCCCACCTCACAGCAGGGCCCGTTCACAGACAGCTCCTTGGTCCACTTTGTACAGGGAGAAACCAAGGCACCCATGGTCTACCAGTCTATCCGTTTTCTACTGTTGCAGTTAATAGATTGCACAAAGTTAGTGGCCTAAAACAACACAAAGTTATTATCTCATAGCTCTAACAGGTTCAAAATCCGACACAGGCCTCACCGGGATAAAACCTAGGTGGCAGGGCTGCATTCCTGTCCGCAGGCTCTAGAGTAGAATCCGCTCCCTTGCCTTTTCTGGCTTCTAGAGGCCATCCACATCCCTTGGCTGGCAGCCCCCTTCTCCATCTTCCAAGCTAGAAATACCACCTCCCTATGGCCTTTCTTCCCCCTTCACATCTCTCTCTGATTGTGGCTGGGAAAAGTTCTCTGCTTTGAAGAACGCATCTTTACATTGGGCCCGCTGGATTACTCAAGATAATCGCCTCATCTCAAAATGCTTAACCTTAATCACATCCACAAAATGCCTTTAGCCAACCAAGGTACCATATTCACAAGTTCCATGGACTAGGACATGGACATTTTGGGGAGACAATTATTCTGCCTGCCACACATGTGGTCTGTCCAAGGACAACCCTGGCTCAGGGTAGAGTGCTGAGGACTGGGATGGGGCAGGAAGCAGGTGTGTGGGACCCCCTCTTGCCCTCAGGACCAGGTGATGACTGGGTGGTAGGTTTGTGGGTGCTCAGTTGCTGCACAGGACCCCAGTTCCCCCAGGGCTCTGAAATTCAGTCTCCCTTCTTGGCAGGATGGGGGCTGGGCTGAAAGCCTGCCTAGGAACCAGGTTCAGCTCTGCAACTCACACCCCTTGCTTAGTTTGGATGCAGAGAAGCCTCTCCCCCAGGCTGGCAGCCTTCTCAAGACTCAGAAATCCCCCCACAGCTCCTTTGACTCAGAGCTCTTCTCCTGGGCTCCTGTGTCAGACTGAGCAGCCCAGGGGACACTCACGCTTTATGCCATGACTTCCTGTTGTCCTGGGCAGGAGGTGGGACCAGGAGTCTGTATGGTTTAAAGGCAGTTCCCAAATCCTGAGTCTCCAGGGGGACGAAGCTAAGGCAGATGGGGAGGGGTGTCAGGAATGGGGGTCGGCCCCCTGATTGCAAAGTCAGCACTATCCCTCCCTGTGGTCCTGGGAACTTCCTGTGTATAGGAAGGGATTAACTCAGCCAACCTACGACTCACTGCCCACTGGCTCCTCTGCTCCTAGCCCCGTAGGCCCCGTTCCGTGGGCCTGGAGCAGGCTGGGGCACTAAGGTGGGAAGCAAAAGGAGAGACACAACTTCCACATTCGGACCCAGACACCCCAGTCATTGGGCTTCTGCTGACTCTGACCCTTGTGCAGTGGCAGGCACTGAGGGGCCAGTCCAGGGTAGAACCAGCAGAGTTCAAAGGAGGTGCCCAAAGCAGCCCTCACACCTGGAGACCTAGGGATTTCCCCAGTTCCTCTCCTGTCCATGCCAGGCCACCGTGGCCCTTGGTATCCACACCTCTTGGGAGTAGAAGCTCTGGAGGGAGAGGCTCAGCCCTCAAGGAAGTTTCTGGGCCTTTGATGTGGCCATCTCTTGGGTTGGTACTAAGCTATGAAAGGGCCCCCCAGATTCCGTGGGTTTCTGCTGGTTCCTTCCCCAGCATGACCCATGCCAGCAAGGCCCCATGGCTTAGACTTCAGGGATCTGAGCTGGAGTGGAGGGCCCACTCTCAGGCTAAGATCCCATGATACAGACCAGGCAGACAAAGGCCAGCTCTGGGACTCTGCACGTTACTGACAGAGATGCAGGACGTAACACACATGCTCATACGCGCACATGCGCACAGGCACACACACACCACATCCAGCACACTCAAGGTTGGAGCCCTCCTTGGGGCCTACGCCCCTCACATTCCATCTCAAAATCTCCCAGGTCGCAGGGCCTCTCCAGGCTCCTCGCTGCTTCTCCAACAGAGGCGCCCTCTCTGGCCTCTGTGCACGTTACCCTTCAGACCTGGGATGCCCAAGCCTCCTTCCACATCCCCCACTCTCCCACCAAGCTCCCTGTCTCGCAACCGGCCTTCTCCTGACTCCTCTCTAAAGCTGGTCCTTAACTGTCCCCAGAGCCTGCTGACCCCTCTCAAGCAAGATATTGCCCTGCCAGCCTGTCCCTCCCCTCCTCCAGGCAGCCTTCCCTGACCACCCTATTCCTGTCAGTAGTACACAGGTCATCATTTAGTTGTTCCTAATCATTTCCTATGAGTCTTGTCACTTTTATGTCCCTTGACAGCCTGGCCTAGAGCAGGGCCCACAAGAGATGCTCATGGGTAGAAAGAGAGGAGCTCCTAGTGCCTGATTCCATGACTCTCCCTTTTAACATCCACCCCCACCCCATCCTGGGTTCAGAAGCTGACTCAGGCCAGGCCTGTCTGGAGGGCAGCTAATGCAGCCTTTCTGGGCTCCCCTATTTGGCCCCCATCTCTGTCCCTGCCTAGGTGGAAGTAGGCAGGGGGGGCTGCAGCAGCTCACAAACCAGGCAGGTTGAATGTCAAATGCACTTTACTGGGACCCTGGGCCTCCAAATGCTATCCTCACCGAGCCTGGGGCGCCCCCTTCCCAGCACGGCCAGCTGCACAGGAAGTGGGGTGGGTAGAGGGAATACGTGTGGAATGGCTCATTCTCCTGCTCCAGCAGGTCGTGGATGATGCTGTGAGCACAGCTGCTTGCCTCTCCCCCTGCAGCTCCTATCCCACCCCCAGCAGCTAGACCTTTCCCAGGGCGGGAAGGGGGGTGCCTGGGGGTTTCAAACCAGCCACCTGTTCCTGCTTAAAATGGGGCAAGGGGCCATTTGCAAAACTCTCCCAGGAGCAGTGGTGAGGTAAAAGGGACAGCAGCCTGCTCCTGCCTGGGAGAGGGCCGGGCAGACCCTGGGAGCCAGGCTGGCTTTCCCTCAGGCCCAGAGCCCTGGGCTCAGGCTCGCTGAGGACAGCTGGTGGTTGAAGTAGAAGTTCAGCCAGCTGAGGCTGGAGGGGGATGCTGGCTGGCCAGGTGGGGCAGCCAATCCAGCTCAGCTCCCCCTCCCAGACAGGCACGGTCACCAGTCCCGCTCGGCTGGTTCTCGGTAGGGCAGGCCTAGGAGCCTGAAGACATCCTTCTCTGTGGGGGTGGGCAGCACTTGGCCAAGCCCCACCTTGACGCCTTGGGTGTTCCGGACAACACCTGTGCTGAGGGCGTGCTCCGACAAGCTCATGCCCTTGGTCTTGGCCAGGGCCCGCATGGAACGGTTGAAGTGGGCAGAGCCGGTGAAGTAGAGCAAGGCGCAGGCAAATTCACTGTAGGGCACGACGATGATGTCCAGTCGCCGGTGCCGCCGCCCTGGCCCTGGGAGCTGGCACACACCCAGGTACTTCTGTTGCTGGCCGTTCTCCTCGTGGCTCACCAAGTCATCTGTGAGGAATCCTGGCCCAAGACAGGGGGACTGCTGGGAGGGCAGGGAGCCAGGCCCTGGGCTGTCCCATCCTCCCAGGTCTCTCCTAATCGCCTGGGTTCTCCATTCCCAGCTTGCCCATTTATTTGCTAGGTGACCCTGCCCTCTCTGAGCCCATCTCCTTATCTGGAAAATGTGGGTAGTCATTCCTCCCCCCCACGCCCACAGCGTCACAGCGTCACAGAAGGATCAGAGGAGACACTCAGCCAGCAGGCATTATTGAGCACTGCCACGGAGGTGTGGGGGAGCTGTCTCATCTCTCCCTTGGGAGGACTCTGGCCATGAGACAGGTGGGATTCTCACAAAGCACCTTTCCCTCCTTCCTGCCTAGAGACTGCAACCTTAAGGTTCTCCTTCTCCCCTGCCAACCTGCTCACCCAGAGATGGAGTTTATACCTTGCTGCCGCAGGCTGTCAAGGAGGCGGCTGAAGATGCCCTGGTGGGACCGGCCATCCGGGTGAGTGATGAGCACATCCACGTCACCGCAGGTCATCTTCCCCCGTCGGTATGAACCACAGGCCACACACAGCAGCCCAGGGTTGAAGGCCCGCGCTGCTTCCCGGACCTGGGAAAGAGCAGTGAGGGGTGAGGGGCTGTGGGCTGACGGGGAGTTTCTCTTCCATGGCAGGACCAGGGCCTTCCCTGACCCACGGACCAACACCCTCAGTGTGTGCCCCAAGCCAAGCCCAGATGCCCATGGCCAGCCTGAGGGAGCCCGCTCTGGGGGCTGCTGCTCTCTAGCTCTACTTGGACAGAAGAGAAAGCTCACACTGCAGGGGGCCTGAGGACAGATATAAGAAGATGCTCTCTCTGCTTCTGAGGGAGGGCACTGAGCTTGCCCTCAGGAGCTCTTTAAAAGCAAAGAGACACACTTTCTCTTGGCCCCTGCCCCAACCCACATGCCCAGATCTGTGAAATTCCACTTAGGACAAGGGCCCAGGTGCCTGGAAGCCCTCAGTCAGGTCTCGGCAGCCCCAGAAATCTATGGATTTGGAGCTAACGGCAGCATGTGAGTTGGGGCTTGAGGCCTGAGCAGGTGGCTGGCAGCATGCCCGGGGCCCAGGCCTGGGAGAAAATGGAACACAGAAATGTCAATGCACCTGTGGGAAAGGAAAGCAAAGAAAGCAAAGGGGGGGCAATTCTGAGGCAGTGCACACATCCTTTCCTGATGGGGAGGGAGCTGAGACAGAGGGGACTGTCAGCTGAAGGCTGATCCCTCACTGAGGAGAAATAAACCCATTAGCCTCCACCCAAGAGAAACGTAGGCCTTTCACATGTAGATGACCTCCCCGCCTCCACCCCAGGACGCTGAGATTTCTGGGGCCCTGGACACCTCAATTCTTCTGACAGGCAGGCTGTGCTAATCCCCTCATCCCCTTCTTGAGCCTCCCAAGAGAATGGGAGGAGGAGGCCCAGATGAGTAATCCCATCAAAACTCCTAAGGCTGGAGCCCTTCAGTGGGAGGCATGGGAGGCCAGGCGGGAAGCCTCTTCTGTTCCAGCAGGCAGGGAGGAGGGGAGGGGGTAACTAGGGCATTCTCCCTGCCTGGATACCGTGGCTGAGTGACAGTGTCATCACTAACACCAAGGCCTGGTGATGGGTGGACAAAGGGGCCTGTCCATCTATCCTGTGCTGGTCTCATAGTCCCATGGCCTGGAAAGGAGGTGGAGGCTGATCTCAACTAAAGTGGGCCAGAGTCTCCACGGGGCCCCGTCCCATCAGAATCCTGACCAAAGTGGGCAACACTTGCCTATAACAAGCAGCCAGCCCCTAATCCTGACATCAGTTGAACAAATGATACATCTAGCCCTAAATGTACCCTAGTCTCTCTCTAATCTAAGTTTTTTTGTTTACTTATTTTAGAGACAAGGCCTTGCTTTGTCACCCAGGCTAGAGTGCAGTGGCATGACCATCACTCACAGCAACCTCAAAGTCCTGGGATCAAGCAATCCTCTCACTTCAGCCTCCCAAGTAGCTGGGACTACAGGTGTGTACCAACACACCTGGCTAATTTTTAATTTTTTTTTTAAAGAGGAGGTCTTGCTATGTTGCCCAGGCTGATCTCAAACTCCTGGCCTCAGGGAATCCTCCTGCCTTGGCCTCCCAAAACTCTGAGATTATAGGTGTGAGCCACTGTGCCTGGCCCTAATCTAGGTTGTATATGAACATAATCTCTAACCTAACTCTCAAACAAACCCCAATCTTGGCCAAACCTTATTTCTTGGACAACTACAAATCTTAACTCAAAAGCAACCAACACTAAGAAAACACTGCTCCTATTGGAGGCCTAACCTTAACTCAATCTTTACCCAGCTTTCTTCTAATCCCGATCCTAATCCTACTGGCACTGTACTCCTAAACCAGCTCTAATCCAAATCCTAAAGCAGCCTTGGGTGGGCTCCAGACAGTCCATATATCTGGAGAGAGATAAAAACTTTGCCCATTTGTGCATTCTAGAGGGAAAAGAGTCCATAGTTTACATCAGGTTCTCAAAGAAATTGGTAAATCAAAAAAACATTGAGAGCCCCTGCCCTGACCCACTCTAAACTAGTCCAGTTCAAATTCCAATATCCTCAAGTAATCCAGACCATAATCTGCCTCTACTCACCCTAACATTAACCCAGTCCTAACACCAGTCTAACGTCTAACCCAATCCTAACTATGCTTGGCTACTGAGAACTCTAATCCAGAGAGCTGGTGTTGCAGCTCTTCCCTCCCAAAGCCATCCCCGCACCCTGACACTTCTGGGCAGCTGTAGTCTCGACTTGCTCTTTCCTCAGCCTCTGGTGACCCACAGCCTCCTCTACCTGCTGGGCTCCCCAGCTGAGGGGTCAGGACCTTAGAGCAGGGCCTGGCTCTCCTCACTGCTCTGGGACACCTGCTTACTGTCTGCTCAATCTCTGCAGCCTCTTCCCTGGGCATGCGTTCTAGGAAATCATCGTAATGCTTCAAGCCAATGGCCTGCTGGGTAGTCAGGGAGGCCTGGTTCCGGATATCTTCCAGGCTTCGGAAGCCCTGGAAAAAAGCAGGCAGAAGGGGAGGCTGTGAGGATCCAGGACCAATTAAGAGGCATGAAGGAGCACACACATGAGGCTTCCACTGCCCCAGACTCTCTAGGGAAGGCATGAGGCAGGACTAACTTCGGGGCACTTGGGTTTGTACGCAGCAGGACATAGGAAAGGCAGGGGGCATGGAAGACATGCCAAAACCAGTCCTGCCATAATCCTAAAATACTGGTCATGATTCCATCAGTCTGGGGATGGGTCTGGGCACCTTCATGGTTCCTAAGCTCCCCAGGTGATTCTGGGCACAGCCAGGTTTGGGAACTAGTGCTCTGGACATGCAGCCCTGAGGCCGGATCTCAGGAAGGCCCTAGCTTGTCTGGGGACAGAGAAATGTACTTCTTGTCCCCACCTACACCTCAAGGATACCAAGCAACAAGGCTGTTCTGGGAGCTGGGGAAGGGGTCAATATGAGCTCTGGTACCCTTGAAAAGTGGTCTCCCTAGTCTGGGTTCATTCCCATCAGAGCACAGGGTAAGAGAACTCTGGGGCAGGAGCTCTGAGACACAGCAAAACTGAAGTGGGGCTGGGCCAGGGTGTGACCTGATGGTACCACATCAGGGCAGTCTTGGTCCCAGCTCCCCAGATGTTGGAGAAGAGCTCCAAGACAGGCACACTTTCGCTGATGTGGTCCAGCTTTCGCAGATGCCCACTCTCCAGAATCTCTATGATCTTCTCGGCCATCCGCTTCCCAATCCCGGGGATGCTGCAGGCCTCCTGAAGGAGGAGACAGAGGCAAAAAAGAAGAGTGAGGAGATGAGGGCCAGAGCCAGCAGTAGGGAAGTTGACTCCTTCAGCAGATGTCTGCGTACAGCTAGCCTGGCTGGTTGGCAACTGCGTGGCAACTGTGTGGCTGTGTAAAGCTCAGGCACAGTTGAAGATGAAAAGTTTGGACGCAATGAAGGCTGGGTCATTCATCTTTTGGGTCCCAGAGGGATGGAGACCAGCAATGGGAAGTAAAGAGTAATGATATTAGTCACCATCATCATCTCCATCGTCATCATCGCAATGGCGAGAGCTGACATTTACTGAAGGCTTACTGTATGTCAGGCCCTGTGCTACAGGGACCATCTCATTTAAGCCTCACAAGAACACTGTAAATGGTTACTATTATTAGTCCCTTTTTACTGCTTGAGAAAACTGATGCTCAGAGAGTTTAAATAACTTACAGAGTCCACAGATTTTGTTGGGCTTCAGAGACTAAACTTTAAAAAAAAGTTTCTATGTTAAAAAAAATTCAAAAGTATAATGAACTCCTAAGTACCCACCACCCAGCTTCAACCATTATCAAGATTTTGCCAATCTGCTTTCATTAATCTCCCATTTTTTTCTTTTGTTCAAATCTTAGACATCATAAAATCTCAACCACTGTACCTGAACCCCACTAGTAACTGGTGCCCCCAGTAACCCCCGGTTAGTAAAGAGAAGACCCCACCACCACCACTGCCCTAGCCCCCAGGTACCTGGTAGGAGGTTACAGGCTTGTGGAAGCTCTTAAGAGCATTAATGGCTTTGGCATAGCCCAGAGCCCTCCACTTGTCTCCCTGAACAGTGTAGGCTTTGGCCAGCACTTCCAGCTTCTCTGTGATGTGGAGGTTATAGTTGTTGGCCTTCTGGCTTGAGGGCTGTGCACAGACCCACTTATCAAGGGGCCCAGGTGCTGGGCTAGGCTCACGATCTCCCTCAAGTGGGGTGGGGTAGTGGCCACTGATTAGGGCTTCCAGATCAGCTGTGCTGACCTGGGTTTCTTCCCCATCACTGGTTTCATCATCAGAGATGGGCTAGAGGTAGAAAAGGAAAAGAGACAATAAATTTTTGTCCCTATGAAGAGGGCTCCTCAAAGATGAGGGTTGGGTTTTTGTGGGAGGAGTCTCCTAGTCAGGCCCAAGAAGGAGGCTGGGCCTTCTACACCAGACTTAGATCTCCTGAAGTGTGGGGCCATGTTCCACTTGACTCCCCCAGTACCCAGCCCGAGGATACTCAGTGTATGTGGTAGATATGGCCCAGCGGAGTGATGAGTGTTGGGAAGAGCTAAAAGGCTTCACAAGAGAGCCCTCCTCTCTCAGGGGCCTCAGATTTCTGAACAACCATCAAGCCCTCCCCATTTCTGTGATCTGGTTCCCAGGGGAAGAGAGCTATGGGGGCTGGGAAGCTCCTGACCCGGGCTTGGGTGCTTGGTGCCTCTTCTGCCTTTTGGGGAGGAGATGCAGGTCTAGTGGGAGAAGGAGGACAAACGTCTGTCCTAAGCAGAGTCTCATGGGCACCAGGATGAGTAGAATGTTGGTCTGCCTTGCTGGGCTGTGGTTGATCCAAATACCTGCAGCAATGGTGATGGGAGGTGAAGATACCAAAGGTCTTACTTTATCTCTCTCCCCAATCTTCTCCTCTGAAACCTTGGTTTCCCAATGTGCCAATTAAGAAAATGACAGTGATGTTTAATAACTCAAGAATAAATTTCAAGATGCTGCCAGGAAACATTTGAAAAAAGACTAAGACCAGCCCACCTGTTGGGGATGGAGATGCTGAATCCAGCCACATCCACCAGCCTTTTCTCCTGTAGGCACAAGCTCAGCCAGGCTGACTTCACCAGCTGAGCACCCAGGGGCAGCCGGGGCAGTCTAAGGAGGCGAAGGGCCCGCTCATAGTCCACGCCTTCATCCACCACAATGTGAGTGACACCTGGGGCCTGCAGAGGGCATATGTGGCCACCATGCTGGACAATCTGCTTCTCGAAGAGTTCTGCTCGAGCTCGTCCAATGCCAGTGGGCACAACATGGGCCCAAAGGGAGCTCAGCCACTCTGTGGAGGGGACATCCAGATGTCTACTTTCAGATTATGCTCTAAATGAACTGTTCACAGTCCCCGTCCCCCAAAACAATCATTTTCCTTCTATCCAGACATCCTTCCTTCTGGGGATCCTACCACAAGCATACAGAAAGTTTCCTTGTAGGTTATCACTTGAATGTAAGGGGCAAGTATTTTTATATACCTTGTTCCCTGTTACAACCTAGAACAGTGTCTGGCACATTGTAGGTAACCTATAAATAAACGTTGAACAAATAAATGAATGCGTCCTCCCTCCCTGCTTTGAATCCCTTCATTTTATCATTTATTCTTTCAACAAAGCACACGTTTCTTACTATTACATGTTTCTTGCTCTTTCAATCTAGCAGACCTGACATCCTGGCCCAAAAGTCTCTGCCTCTATTTGTCAATTTGGCTGCAAAACAACTTATAAGCCTGGGGATTGAAGGAAGATTTCTGTTTGGCAACCCGCCCGCCCCACCAGCCTCCTAGAAAGCAAAGGATTCTGCTGGTCTGAGGGACCAAGAAGTATTTTCTGATTGATGCAGGTCTTGGAGTGGGAAAGAAGATAACACAGCAAATGGCCCAATGACCAGGGACCAAGCTTAGTACAAGGCAGGTAAAACAGACCTGCAGGCCCTGGACAGGCAGAGTCAGCTCCAATATCTGACATGAACAATGTAGGGCTGAACAACAGGAAGGCTGAGGGTTCAGGCAGATGATGGTTCTGAGGGTAGGTAAGCTCACCTCCTGTTTCTTCTCCCTCTTCCCTCTTGGGAATCTTTGCAAGTGCTTCTGATGATGAATTGGCATGAATTTTCTTCCGCTTGGGAAATGCCTTCAAGATGCCTCTGGGGTCCATTAAAGTATGGCTGGATCTTGGCCTTTATGTTTCAGGGTTGGTAAGGGCAGTTGTCATGTGGAAATCCAGAGCTGAGGCTCCCCAATCCCTGTGCCTATGGAGGTAGGGTGTCTACTGACCAGGCCTTGGGGGGCAGCAGCCCAGTTCTTAGGGGTCTCCCAAAAGCCAATTAAACTTCAGTGGTTTACCCTAGTTCCACTGTTCCCAGCCTTTCAAGTTAGAGTATAAGGGGAAATGAAGGAAAGACTGGGACTACTGGGGGGACTTTTGAGGGGTAGGAAACGATATCATTTATCATTTCTTGGAGGTGTTGCTCTAAACATTCAGCGCAGTCTGCCCCTGCTGCATCCCACTTCCAAAGGGCTTTACCAAGAGGGGATAGTAGATTAGAAAATGGAGCAATATCTTTAGGAAGTGACTGGGAGGAACCCCCACATAACCCTCACATTATTTTTCTCTACCCCCAACAGAGGAGCAGAGGAAAACCCAGGGAGGGAAGTTTTAGGGGGGCAGTGGGAACGCCCTGCACCTGCCCTGGCCGCGGGCCTCTCGGCATGGGGGTGCTAAATCCCTCAGCTGTAAGGAGATGGGGCACGCCGCAGCAGGTGTGGGTCGCCGTCCCGAACTGGGGAAGTCTCGGCCTCACAGCTGCAGGCAGAGAAGACCCGAGCAGGTGTGCACCGCCGCGTGCGCATCTGTGCGGGCCAGACTCCCAGCTGGGGGCCAGAGGAGAGCTGGTGTGCCCTGACCCGGCCCTAAGAGGACCTCCTCACCTTCCAGAGTCAGTCCCCGGGAGGGGTCGACAACTGGCCGGGATGGTCAACCTGGGTTGGGTAGGAACAAACCACTTACCACGGGAGCCAATGAAAGCGGACGAAAGGGAGAGATGGGGGGGAAGGGCAAATGCCCAGAATAGCTTCCGAGTCAACCGGAAGTGATCCTCAGCGGACCGGTTGCCATGGTAGCGGCCGGGCGCGCTGCTGGGCGGAGGGAAGATGGCGGTGACGGGCTGGTTGGAGAGTCTGCGGGCTGCCGAGAAGACGGCGCTGCTGCAGGACGGTAACTCGACGCTCCCCGCGAGTTCCCTCGTCCTTAACCCCCGGTTCCGGCTCTCCACGCTGGCGCCTCCGGGAAGGGCCTCAGAGCCTAGGACGGCAGAGCTGGAAGGGTCGCGGCCGTCAGTCAGGCCAGGTCCTTCATTTGCAGATGAGGAAACTGAGGCCCAGAGAGATGACGTGACTGTAACACACGTCTCTGCACACCTAGTTTCCCCTACACCATCTGATTTTTGGTTGCTAATAAATAATAATTCCTTTCACATTCATTGTCACGTTTGCTCCTCACCGCTGCCCTGAGAGGCTGATAATTTTTTACCCCGTTTTACAGAACAAGAAACTGAAACCCAAGATGGTTTAGACTTTAGAGAGACCGGAGACCTGGGCTCTAGTTCCCACTCTGCCATTAATTCACAATGAGCTGCCCAGTCGTCCTCTTTACTGTTTGGACTTCACTTTTCTCATCTGTAAAATGAAGTGGATGGGCGACCATTGTTATTGCTGAGGTCCTGCCCAGCTGCAATGTTATGTTTGTAAAGTGAATCTCTAGATGTTCCCTGTGTCTTTAGGGGAGATGGAGCAAGGCTGTGCCTGGAAGAGGTGGGCACAGGGAGGGGTTTGGAGTCTGACTTTCCCCACCCTAGGACTGGCCTATGTAGGTTCCCTGTGCTTCAGGGCCCTTTCCTGGACCCACTTGGTATGGTAGCCAGGATGAATTAAGTGTGAATTCCTGAGGCTTTCAAGATAACAGCTGAGGGCTCACATCTACGGGCAAAGGCCAATCAAGGAAGCCTGGAATTTGTGGAAATTAAAATAAGATGCTCATTTGCTCTTTCATGCAACATTTAGGGAGGTTTATACTATGTGCCACGCTTTGCACTAGAGCAGATAAAACAAGACAAGTTCACAGAGTGGTCAAGAAAAATGCATGTAAATAAGTAATGTGTGTTAAATAGAGGTTAGAATCTTGTATGAAATGCTATGAAAGCATGAAGGTGGAAATGATCATCTCTTTGGAGGAAGACCCAACAGAAGAGGCGATGTTTCCAGATCCCAAAGAATTAATAGGTATTTGTTAAGTGGAGAAGAGAGGATGGCTATTCAAGAGCGAAGTGTGAAGTTATGTGGCTGATTACTAGGGGAATAGCAAAATGTTTAGTAGTGCTAAAGCAGTCACCCAGTCAGTCAGAACAAACCCCCTACACTCTGTCAGGTACTATTCTAGGTGCTGGGATACAAGAGTGAATAAAAAATTCTCTTTTCTCAAGGTGTAATGAGGGGCAATGGTAGAAAATGGAGAGAGATCACAGATAAATTGGACATACTATGATACATCTCTTATGCTATATTAAAGACTTGGGCATTATCTCATAGGACAGTGGTTTTGTTTTTATTGTAAAAAACATATGACATAAAATTTACCATTTTAACCTTTTTTTTTTTGAGACAGGGTCTCACTCTGTTGCCCAGGCTAGAGTGCAGTGGTGTCATTGTAGCTCAGACTCCTGGGCTCAAGCGATCCTCCTGCCTCAGTCTCCCAAGTAGCTGGGACTCCAGGCATGTTACCACCATGCCTGGCTAATTTTTTGTTTTTTATTTTTGGTAGTGACAGGGTCTCACTGTTGCCCAGGCTGGTCCCAAACTCCTGGCCTCAAGGGATCCTCCTGCCTTGGCCTCCCACAGTGTTAGGATTAGGAATGTGAGCCACCCTACCTGGCCATTTTAATCATTCTTAAGTGTATAGTTTTGTGGCATTAAGTACTATCACATTGTTGTGCAACCATCACCACCCTCCATCTCCATAACTTTTTATCTTCCTCAGCTGAAATTCTGTACCCAATAAACACCAACTCCTCATTCCCTCCTCCCCACCAGCCCCTGACAACAACCTTTCTACTTTCTGTCTCTATGAATTTGACTACTTTAGGAAGCTCATCTAAGTGGAATCATATGTTTATTCTTTTGTGACTTATTTCTTTCACTTAGGATAATGTCCTCAAGATTCATCCATGTTGTAGCATGTGTCAAAATTTCCTTTTTAAGGCTGAGTGATATCCCATTGTATGTATATACCACATTTTGTTTATCCATTCATCTGTCGATGGATACTTGGGTTGATTCCATCTTATGGCTATTATGAATAATGCTGCTCTGAACACGAGTGTACAAATATGGATTCTAGTCTCTGCTTTCACTTCCTTTAGTCACTGGGCAGTGTTTAAAGAAATATTTCATCAGCCAGGATTTTAAATTCTTTTGTTAGTAGCATCACAAAATGACATTGTTAGGGTTTTTTCCCTCCCCAAACCAAAAAATAATATAATATTGAATATATGGATATTCCTTGTCAAACATGTGGAGTTACCCTCCTGGTTTTGGCAGGGAGGGTGTGAGGAGTGGGGGCATTACTACCCTCCCATCAAGAATCATGGCTGTTTATAATGAGAATCTAATATACTTTACCTTTTTTTTTAGAAATTATTTTCATTGTGAAAATATGAAAAATAAGTCAGACATACTACCATCCGAAAAAAATCATAATTTACATTTCATACATAAACTTCTATATTTTTCCATGAATACATGCACATGTATTTTTTCTTTTACCAAAATATTATACTAATATACTTAAAAATTTTTATATCCACACATATATTATCAGAATAAATATAGTATTAGAGTAAAATATAGATAAGTATTATATAATCATTGGGTAGGGAGGATGTTCTAAGCACAACTTCTAGGGCAGTAACCACAATGGAAGAAATAGGTAGTTGACTATAAAAATTAAACACTTGTGCTATGTGCAGGGGCCTGTCCCTATAGTCCCAGATACTCAGGAGACTGAGGTGGGAGGATTCTTGAGCCCAAGAGTTCAAGGTTGCAGTATGCTATGATCGTACCTGTGAATAGCCACTACACTCCAGCTTGGGCAACATATTGAGATGCCATCTCTTAAAAAAAAAAAAAAATGAAACACGTGTTTGGGAAAATCCACTTTAAACAAAGTTAAAAGACAGTTGAAACAGAACATTTGCAACATGTATGATGCATAGTTAATATATACGAAGCTCAATCAGATCAATAAGGCAAAGATGAATACCCAAACAAAATAGGCTAAAGCATAAATAGATAATTCACCAGAAAAATGGCCAATTAACCCTTGGAATAATGTTTAATCTTACAAATATTTAAAGCCATACAAATTATCCTAGTATAGTTATTAGAGCATGGATTTTGACCTTAAGTGAGTTTAAGCCCAGTTCTGTCATTTCCTAGCTTTATGATCTTGGATAAGTTGCGTGACCTTTAAGCCTCAATTTTCCTCATCTGTGAAATACAAGTAATAGAGACACAGGATTATTGTGAGAATTAAATTCAATACAATGTGTAAAGTACCTGGTGGGCTGATAGTAAGCATTGCATCCTGTCTAGACTCAAGGCTAGATGCCCTCAGCTACTCAAAGGCATCATTTTATATTCCATTCCTGACAGGAAAACTCTTTCCAGCTCCTATGAGCCATCTAAATGATTAAGGGTGGTGTAACCTAGGGATTTGCTGAGAGACCCTGCAAATTTGGTGGGGTGAGTTTCTGTGGAATACAGATTAGGAATGACTCAAGAGAACTGTGTCCCAGAGGAGTAAATTGGACAGGAAAAAGGCACCTCGGGGCTCTTATTCATCAAACATATGTAGGGAACTTGTCTACTGGGCATTAGTGCCCTGTTACTAGTCTCACTGAGGAGCCTGCCTGTATCTATTTATCTAGGTATAAAAAGAAAGGGGAAATTACACAGCCACTGTTAAGCAAATGCTTATGATTATATTACATAGGTAGAGGAGTTGGGCCAGGGGACTCCCTTGGGTTCTTTTCTTTCAATAGATAGTGCATCAATGTTTGTTCATTCTTTTGATCAGTATTTAGTTGAGCTCCTAATATTTGCCAGCTACACTGCTTGGTCTTTGGGAAACCATAGGCATGGGGAATAAAACCCCTCCTATCTAGTAGAACAGACAGATAATAATTAAAG